GTGAGAATTGGAGATATCAATATGAGGAAAGAGGAAGGAGGGAAAAATTCAAACGATAGTAGTAATTGAGAGTGTTTTTGGGGTTATTTTAAAAACTAAAGCCAGAGCTGAATTGCATATATTTAGGTTGGAGTTATCGCTACTAGTTTTGTAAACAATGAAGTTAATGCTGTGAACGTTAGAATTTATATATTATTTTCGTTCTCATTACATTCGGATATATATATATATATATATATATATATATATATATATATATATATATATATATATATATATATTAATTATTAACCATATGACAGAAATGAAGTACGGAGAAGGTTTTAAGTTACAAATGGCGTGAGGTTTTAAGTTCGGAATTTTCGGACACGGCTTTATCCTTCATCAACGGACCAAGGAATAAACAGAAAAATGGGAATTACTAACCGATAGGGGTTTTGGATTGCGTAAGAATGTAACAATATATATATATATATATATATATATATATATATATATATATATATATATATATCTGAATGTAATGAGAACGGATGTTCTGTCAGCAGCCATCAAAAATGTACTTGATTTTCAATGCCCAAAAAAGGATTGCTAAAAAATTTTTTTTATTCTAAACTGTCTGGGATCTTCACTTGTGCCTTTGATATATAATAATAATAATAATAATAATAATAATAATAATAATAATCACATCTCCACAACACTATACTCCAAACCCACAAATGGCCATTGCTACCTAAATTTCAAATAGCTACAACCACACCAACCTAAAAAAAAAAATCAATAATCTACTTTCTCAATAGGAATCACCCATTTGAAACTATCAATTACTAAGGTTTCCATACAAAATAAAAAATACTGTTCTAACCTATAAAACAAAGAAGAATAATTTATTTTACTTGCAATATTCCCAAGTTTCCCCATATCTTAACAAAAGATGTTCAGTATTTAAAACTTGAAAAAACTTAGAAAAATATTTAGCGAGAGCACACTTCACGCTAGGCGTCCGCCCCTCCCCTCCTAATCTGCACACCCTCCTAACATCAACCTCACAAAGGGAATATCAACTACATTAAACCCCAATGCCAAATCTGTAAACATATCATCACTGATAGCAATTTCACCCACCCCCGGAACTCACACAATATTCAAACCACCGGCTCTGGCTCTGGCTCGTGACAGTTCAAATCTTATATATTTACTTTACTGCCACATGCAAAAAAAAAAGAAGGAAATTATGGTGCAGAAACTGGCACAGAATTCCGTCTTCCGTTCAATAACCATAAAAAAAAAAACATCAAAGACAGCAACAACAATTTTTCCTGTCGCTGCACGCTTCAACCAACCGTTTTATAACATTAATGATATCAGGTGCGTGCTTTAGCGTCTTCATTCAACAGCCGACAAGAAAGACGCAGATCGGAGGTAAAATATATTTTCAAAATAAAATCCCATATTGAAGAATTAAACGGAGACTGGTGTTTACTCAGAGATTATAATTTCCGCAGGGAGCCTTCTAACCAACAACAACAACAACATTCCTCGAAAGTGTAAGTCTCACTTCTTTGTTTATTATTCGTATCGTTGAAAAAGGACACAGGAGTGTCCGAAAATTCTGATGTTAAAATATTTCTCTTCATGCATCAATTTAATAAAAAAAGATAATATATAATAAATATCATTAATTTTATTGCCAATATTGTCATCAATTTGTTGGCTTTTTATTCCTCACATGTTATTAACCGGCCTATTAAATCTCTCTCTCTCTCTCTCTCTCTCTCTCTCATATATATATCTCTATATATATATATATATATATATATATATATATATATATATATATATATATATACGTATGGACTCTTCCAGCTATAAACTGGGAGAAGGTACTGCCTTTTGGAGAGGGAAGTTTCTAGCAGTCAGCTCTGACAGTCGGACCAAACATTCTTGCTGTAACACTCTCGTTTGTACATGTTTGTATTACTGTTTCTGTTAATATATTTGTTTAACTCAATTCCTCTTTTTGTGTCTTTATTTCTGGCCCTAACATGACCACAACAATATATATGTATGTATTGACGCGATATATACATATACACACACACACACACACACATATATGTATATATATATATATATAGTATTTACATTAGTCGGACTATTGTCCTCATCTTTGTCGCCATATTTGTCACAACGTTTCGGCCGTTGTACGCTCCGGCCTTCTTCAGGTGGTTGGAACTTCGAACTGAACCCTTTATTTCGATCACTGGGGTAGACTGTTCTAGTTCCACGTTCCATGTATGATGGATGTCAGTTATCAGTTATCGCCTGCTAATTTTCCCTCTGAAAGTTCTCCACTGCCTTAACCAGGTATTGAACTCACCTTCTTTGGGTCTGTCACTGGATCTAACCAACGCCTTTATTCAATGTGCCATGTGTCCTTGAGGAGCGTACAACGGCCGAAACGTTGTGACAAATATGTCGACAAAGATGAGGACAGTAGTCCGACTAATGTAAATACTGTACATAATACCTCATCTCAGAAATATAGACATATATATATATATATATATATATATATATATATATATATATATATCGTCGAACGACACTTATCTCGAACTATTCGGTTTTTGAACGGGCTTTTCGAGAAGAATAAGTCGCAGTTTTCGAACAGAAATTCTGTTCTCGAATAATAACGACGTCAGTCGAATGAACACGAATGAAACCAAGAAAGCCCCGAACACACGGATGCATCAGTTACTCGTTGGCTTCACTTGACACTGTACACGTTCACTTCATCAGAGTGTGTTTTCTCCTATTTTGATATATTATTTCATTTCTATATACACCGTAATGGCTCCGAAGAAAGTTATTGATATCAATAAACCTAAGTGGAAAGTTGTGACAGACACAATTGAATTGAAAAACTAAATAATAGTGAAACATGAAAGTCGAATGTATGTCTTTGATCGAGCGGTGAATTTTTCGATGCCGAAATCAATCATATGCACAATAGAGAAGAACAAAGATTTGATCAAAGCAGCAGATGTTGCAAAAGGAGTGAAAGTATCAACAAAACAAAGATCACAGACTCTTGGAGAAGTGGGAAAACTGTTACTGATTTGGATTAATGAGAAACAATTAGCTGCTCATAGGATTCCAGAATCAATAAATTGTCAAAATGTGTGAGCAATTAATACTTATGTGGAAAATTGTTTCGTTTTTTGAACGACTTCTTGCAATGAATTAAAGATTTATTTTGATATATTAGAAGTTTTGATAGCCCGCTGGAGCGCGTTGAAATCCTCAAAGTATTTAATATTATTGAAGTTATCGCTAACATTTACAAACTCTACGTTTAGTTCAATTTCGCAAACCAATCCATGAAATTTGAATAAACTGAGTTGTTTGGAAAATACTTTGACAAGAAACCCTACTACGCGGTTTAATAATTTCTTTAATTTTATAGGACTTCATGGTAAACAATATTTTTAATATTTTTTTTTTTCTTTTTAATAGCGAAGAATAAATTCTTAAGATTTCATACTCTTGAGCATGCAACATACAACTGGCCATGCAGAAATATTTCTTTCTGGGGCCAAATTCCAATTTTTTGAAGCGTTTGGCCCTGTAATTTGTTTATAGTTTTCGCAAACGAAGGCAAATTGGAAACTGGATTCTGGTATATAAAAACTTAAAGAAAAGATATAAAAAAATAATATTACATTTTTATTAAATAAGTATTTGTTATTTTAATCATTAAATTGTTTTTAAAATAGTAAGAGTATTTTCTATGTTAAATAATATCTTTTTTTAAATTTTTCCAAAACAAATAATGAAAATGTACTGTACTAAGCTAAGCACTCTAGTAAAACCAACTGTACTTTATAATAACCCCTTAGCTGTTTCCACTTCTAAAAAATTGGTTTTGATCGATCAGTGTATGGCTATTTTAGAGAATTTGACGGACGGACAAACTAACAGAAGTCACTGAATTTTATATATAGTTAGATTATGTCTAATAAATGTTTTCTGCGCCTCATTGATATTTTAGTAAGTGTAAATCTTTGCAGAAAAATTTCAGTCTTCTTTCAATTTTTTTTGTTACAAACACGCATGCACATTCACGCCGATGAAAATAAATGTCATTTTTAAGTCATTTTGAGATTTGATACTTTTTTTTCATTCGGAATTCTGTACTTTCGACGTTAAAGACAAAAATTAGAAAGTATCAAATATAGACAATAAAAAAAAAGCGACAATGCAGTGAAAAGAAGATAGCGTCGCTTTCGTGAGAGTCTCTAAGAGATTCCCGCGTATGTTCGCGTGCAGACAACCAATGAGTTGCCAGTGAGTCATTTTTGTCGAGGTTACAGAGAGGCTGATTGCCAAATATATCAACTGGATGGCTACGAATAATGAAAACTAAAAGGATTTGAGGTTGATAAAAGCGAGGGTAGGCGGAGAAAGAGATTGGATCGACGAGCGAGAAAAAGATTTAAAGAGAAAACAAACAAAATTCTTTTTCTTTTTTTCTTTTAAAGAAAGAAATATTTAAGAGAGGAATTAGGAAGAACAGAGAAATTGAAATAGGAATAAGGTAAATGCGGATCGATTCATATTACTACAATTTAGGTATTTCAGATTTTATACGTGTAGGAATGTACTGGCTATCATGACAGACGCAGGAAGCAGAGAATAAAATTGTACGGTACCAAAGTTTTAATCAAGGGAGGGCAAGAGAGTCAAAAAGGAAGACAAGGGTACGGTTTACACGAGTCAAAAAGCTAGACATAAGTCCGGTTTACACGAGACTAAAAAAAGGAAGACAAGGGTCCGGTTTACACGGGTCAAAAAGGTAGACATAAGTCCGGTTTACACAAGACTCAAAAAGGAAGACAAGGGTCCGGTTTACACGGGTCAAAAAGATAGACATAAGTCCGGTTTACACAAGACTCAAAAAGGGAGAAAAGGGTCTTTTAAAAAAGTTTTAAAAATCAACTTTTGAAATCTTAGTGTTTTGGGGGTTTTGGGGGGGGTTCTTTCGACAGGATATGAACACCGGCTGCCGAGATTGAGATAGATATATATTTTTCTACGCTTGTTAACTCGTGTAAACCGGACCCTTGTCTTCCTTTTTTTGAATCTCGTGTAAACCGGACCCTTGCTTCCTTTTTTTGAATCTCATGTAAACCGGACCCTTGTCTTCCTTTTTTGAATCTCGTGTAAACCGGACTTTTTGTCTCGTGTAAACCGAAACCTTGTCTTCCTAGTTGAGGCTTGTGTAAACCGGACTTATGTCTACCTTTTTTTACTCGTGTAAACCGGACCCTTGTCTTCCTTTTTTTAGACTCGTGTAAACCGGACTTATGTCTACATTTTGACTCGTGTAAACCGGACCCTTGTCTTCCTTTTTTAATCTCGTGTAAACCGGACACTTGTCTTCCTTTTTTAGCCTTGTGTAAACCGCTTCCTTGTCTTCCTTTTTTAGTCTCGTGTAAACCGGACTTATGTCTACCTTTTTGGCCCGTGTAAACCGGACCCTTGTCTTTCTTTTTGAGCCTTGTGTAAACCGGACTTATGTCTACCTTTTTGACCCGTGTAAACCGGACCCTTGTCTTCCTTTTTGAGTCTTGTGTGAACCGGACATGTCTACCTTTTTGACCCGTGTAAACCGGACCCTTGTCTTCCTTTTTTTTAGTCTCGTGTAAACCGGACTTATGTCTAGCTTTTTGACTCGTGTAAACCGTACCCTTGTCTTCCTTTTTGACTCTCTTGTAAATCAAACATATATCTACCTATCTACGTGACTATTTTAATACAAAACTTGTAATCCACATTAGATCGCCCAAGGAATAGATTAGATTAAAGTAAATCAACTTCTGAAATCCTATTATTATTTTTTTTTGTCTTCAGGATATGAACACCGGCTGTAGAGACAAAGGTGGATACATCTTTTTCTTCGCTTGTTGTCTCATGTAAACCGGACGTTTGTCTTCATTATGTCAACTGGGTGGTTACAAGCAAAAGAACAAGAGAAGAATTGAAGTAAATATAAAGTAAATGCGGATCAATTCATATTACGACAATTTAGATATTACAGATTTTTTACGTACAGGAATGTACTGGCCGCCATGACAGACGCAGGTCACAGAGAATGACATTGTGCAGTACCAAAGCTTTAAATTGTGTCCCTTGTCAGTTTTATTTTCTGTTGAGGGGTTCTCTCCTTTTTACACAAATGGACTCACCCAGAGTATACATATACTACTGCTAGTGAATACCCGGGAGAAGAACGAGCGACGAACCAGGACGAACGTAACGAGTAAGAGTCACAGTGAGCAAGCACGTAGACTCAGTAAGAAGTCATACAGTGATACGTCGATACGAAAGACTGTATATATATATTTGCTACTAACCCTCATTCCTGGAACTACTAACCTGCATTACCAGTTTGTATTATTACATTAATACATTTATTTTCCTATATTCCTTCTTGGCGTTTGTTATTTATTGGTACCGGATTTCATCCCGGAATCCACAACACTTTCAATTTTCAGTTCCGCATGCGGATTCAAGCCAATGGAAATAAATGTCATTTTAAGCCATTTTGAGATGTGATACTTTTTTTTCTTAGGAATTCTGTACTTTCGACGTTAAAGACAAAAATTAGCAGGTATCAAACATAGACAATAAGAAAGTGACAGTGCAGTGAAAAGAAGATGGCGTCGCTTTCGTGTTGTTTATGGGTATATGTAGGAAAGATAACAGTCAACTCTAGAATTTGAATATATTTTTTACTGATTATTAACCTCTTGCAGGCTGCGTAATTAACCAAACCATTTTTTTTCTTTTATAAAAAGCTCTGTGTTATCCATATTTGTTTATAATTTCACTGCTTATGTTATAAATCCATTCAATGAAATCACCAGGAGAATTCTCTGGCGCTAATACAGCGCCTTTGACTTCAAATGGTTTTGTTTTTCTTTTTAATCTTATACAAATGCAAGAAAATAAATAACAATGAAACATTTTAACTCGGAGAAAGCTTGGATTATTTTTCTTCTTCGATTTATGCATAGATTTTGTTGGTTCTTTTAATGCCGCTATTCCATTAAACACCACTTATCTCGTAGGTCCTTGTCGGCTAGAAGAGCAGTAATCGCTATTAATCATCTTGCTCATCCCATTACTCTATGGGCGGGAACCACTCTACCGAGAAGCTCTTCAACTGTCTGCCTGCTTATTTAGGTAGCAAAACGGACCAAAACCCATTTATTCCGCTTACACGTCAAAACGTCTAAGAGGTTCCCACATCCCACTGTGAATATTCGCAGAGAAACGTTCAAGTAGCCATCTTGAAATATAAATGTTTCAATTTAAGGGCTTGATCGCCTCACCCAACCAATTCTCCAATGCTAGCTGTGGTATAATGTAAAGGATTTATTGAACAAACACGTCCAGATTTTCATTGGTTCTAATAACTATATATATGTTGAGTAACGCAACAAATACAATAAAGTATATACAGAAATTAAGGCTAAATTTTTTTACTGTAAAAATGCGTTGCAAATCTTCAATGATCTGATTAATTCAACTGTTATATAAGAATAAAGTGTCGCTGTCGACACTGTAGTTTGAACATAGATCGCCAGTTAGCAAACACGGGCGATCCCATTTTGAATAAGTAGATCACGTGATAGTGAAGTAAATGTATATATGCGTGGCGTCTAACTGATCACCATTTCTATTCTATCCTCTATTACTATACGGTTCGCTATTCTCTATACTTTTCACTATACGGATCACTATTCGGTAGTCACTATTAGAGCGAGTATTATCGAGCAAGTACTATTAGTGCGAGTGATATTCAAAGCATCTGATACTAGTATTGTTCAACGGCGTTACTATAGTTGTATCTGCTATTCTCTATACTTTTCACTATACTACTTCTCTATACTGATCACTATACGGATTACTAATCGATGGTTACTTTTCCAGCGAGTATTATCGAGCAAGATGGAGTTATGGATAGCGGCTCAGATTGAGGAATCGTGGAGCCGAGTTCGAATTCCAGTCGAATCCATTACATTCACTTACGTGCTAATACCCTTGGGAAAGGTATGAATCTTCTTCTTCTTCTTCTTCTCCCCCAGCTATGGGTAAATAGCAGGACAGACCGGGTTCTATAGCCTTGGATGGCAACTGGTCTACCGCAGAAAAAAATGGCTGCGGGAAAAATCTGCCTCGTCAGTCATGTATCGAAAGGTATGTGCCATGCGTGATACACATAACTGACTGACTATTAGTGCCAGTGTTATTTGAAGGCGTCTGACACCAGCATTGTTCAACGGCGTTACTATAGTTGTATCTGCGATTACAAAGTCTCTACTACAACGAGCATTACGAAAGTGACAACATGTATTCGTTGAGATTACAAAAGTGGCAACGAGTGTTCGTTGACATCACAAAATCAACAAATACGTCAAAACCTTCATACCGTTTTTTTTTTAATCTTTCACCTAATACGAAGTTGTTCAAATTAGAGGATTACTTAATGAGACTAGTACATAAACGTAACAGGGGGGGAGATAAAAAGTGCATTTTATGAGGATATGTAGGAAAGATAACGATTATCTCTAAAACTTGAAGAGGTAGCAATCGGGTTTTGATTGATTGATTTGCTTTTACGGCTTACCAAAAAATATTTTTTATAAATTGTAAGTATTTTTTGGAGAGAATAAGGATTTACTGACACAAGTCCTACTAATTAACCCATAGCGGGGAGGAGAAGATGTGGATTCATACCTGAGCCAAATGAAATCGACTGGAATTAGAACTCAGCTCACCGATTTCCAATCCCGAGCTATTATCCATTACCTCATGCACATCCAAGCTTACAGTACCTATATTCCCAAGTGGTCATCCATCTACGTTCGGACCAAGACCAACGTTGCTTAACTTCGGTGATCGTACGAGGACCGGTGTTTCAACGTGATACAGCTATAAGCCATACCACCTGCACGTGCAAGCTTACAGCAATTGGTATTCCCAATTGGTCACCCATCTCGGTACTGATCAGGCTTGACGTTGCTTAACTTCGATGATCGTACGAGGACAGGTGTTACAACGTGATATGGTCATAAACTATATATTTTCAAGTTCCTCCAATCCCTTATTTCGTATTCAATACGAAATAAAAGACTCGTGAAATATTTCTAAATAGAAAAGCAATCCTTCCTGAAAACCCTAAAGAATATATATATATATATATATTAGTTCTACCCACTAACTCTATCACATTTAAATTAAAAAAAGAATTTATCTAAACTCAACATAAAATGTGATACAACTCCATCTAAAACAATACAAGACAATTAATACAAAACAAAATAATAAGCTAAAGCTCAAAAGAAGAATTTACTCTATTACCTGTAATAGTTGCCACAAGGAATATATTGGAGAAACTTCAAGGAATTTAAATAAAAAATTATATAAACACATACAACACATTAACAAAACAACACATTAAATGCATTAGCTGCTCTCCGTAACAAGAATAACCACAAGTTTGATTTTAAAAAAATGCTACTCCAATTAAAAGAGAAAACAATTTACTGAGAGGAAATTATTTAGAAAGTGCTTTAAGAGCTGGCTTATAAATCAGTAATTTTGCGTCCAGGTTCTTACAACGTTTCAGCAAGCATGGCAGATCTTTTATTACCATAATGTGGGATATTTAATGACAAAAAATCTTTGAAACACAAATAAAAAGAAAAATAATCTAAATGAAATCGGCTAGATAATAAAACCAAAAGACATATTTAAAAAACATATTTTTTAAATTTCAAATTCCCAGCGTCTCTCATTTGTGCGCATGCGTAGTCACATCAACGTAAACATAAACTGATGTAGTCCTAAAGGACGAAACGCGTCACACGATAACTTTTTCACTTTGTCAATATTCGTGTGTGCGTGAAGTAACACACAGTGAGTGTTGGTAGTAATAAAATGGTGTCCAATGTATAATAACAGAGCTAAAATTCATACTACTAATAAAATTCGTACTACTAATTAATATGCATTTTGCGGCTTATCGTATATATATATATATATATATATATATATATATATATATATATATAATAAGATTGACGATCCTTAAAATTAATTCGGTTATAATTTATTTCATGAATATATTCAAATATTCGACAGTTCAGACCAAAGATTTTTAATAACTGGAAGCAAAATGTCCAGACAAAATGGAGAGGAAAAAAGAAAAAAATGGAGGGAAAAAAAATTTATATTAAAAGAGGAAAGAAAAAAAATTCTATAAAAGTTTTAAATTTTTTCCTTTCTTTTTTTTTTCTTTTTTCCTCTGCCTTTTCCTTTTGTCTGGACAAATTCATTTCATTTATTAAAATAAATTGAATATATTCATGAAATATATAATAACCGAATTGGATTTTTAAGGATCGTTTGTATTTATCATTAATATATTGCTCTGTTATTTACATTGAGCTCTCTTTGGATTAATGTCCCCCTTGGATGGAATTATCCTTACCAATTATCAATTGATATTGCATATATATATATATATATATATACATATATTCCGGAGTTGTTTTTTCTGTTTTCATTTTGAATTTGTAGGTCTGATGATTTGGATCGTATTTACGATTCCAATGGAATAAATTATGACCATGGAATATTAGTGTTTAAGCCTTTTTATTATATCCTTACTCTGTCTTAGACATTGAGTTCTACCTGGATCCTTCCTCTTGAAAAATTTTTTTTCTGAAAATATACATGTATGGGAATTTTTTAGATATATTTTTCATATGTATGTATATTTTCCACTAATATTATCTATATATATATATATATACTGTGGAATCTCGGTTCTCGAACGTAAATCAGCCCAAGAAACAATTTTCGTTTTGACAAATTATTGATTCTGGAATCCTATGAGCAGCTAATTGTTTCTCATTAATCCAAATCAGTAACAGTTTTCCCACTTCTCCAAGAGTCTGTGATCTTTGTTTTGTTAATACTTTCACTCCTTTTGCAACATCTGCTGCTTTGATCAAATCTTTGTTCTTCTCTATTGTGCATATGATTGATTTCGGCATCGAAAAATTCACCGCTCGTTCAAAGACATATATTCGACTTTCATGTTTCACTATTATTTAGTTTTTCAATTCAATTGTGTCTGTCACAACTTTCCACTTAGGTTTATTGATATCAATAACTTTCTTCGGAACCATTACGGTGTATATAGAAATGAAATAATATATCAAAATAGGAAAACACACTCTGATGAAGTGAACGTGTACAGTGTCAAGTGAAGCCAACGAGCAACTGATGCATCCGTGTGTTCAAAATATTTCTTGGTTTCATTCGTGTTCATTCGACTGACGTCGTTATTATTCGAGAACAGAATTTCTGTTCGAAAACTGCGACTTATTCTTCTCGAAAAGCCCGTTCAAAAACCGAATTGTTCGAGATAAGTGTCGTTCGACGATATATATATATATATATATATATATATATATATATAACGCGACAATACATACATATCTCTTGTTATGGTCATGTTAGGGCCAGAAATAAAGACACAAGAGAGGGATTTAGTTAAACAAATATATTAACAGAAACAGTAATACAAATATATACAAACGAGAGTGTTACAGCAAGAATGTTCGGTCTGACTGTCAGAGCTGGCTGCTAGAAACTTCCCTCTCCAAAAGGCAGTAACTGCTCCTATTTATAGCTGGGAGAGTCCATATATATATGAGAAGGAGAGAGAGAGAGAGAGAGAGAGAGAGAGAGGGCTGGTTAATAACATTTGAGGATAAAAAGCTAACAAAATGATAACAATATTGGCAATAAAATTATTGATATTTATTTATATATTATTTTTTTAAATCGGAATTTTCGGACACCCCTGTGTCCTTTTTCAGCGATATGAGTAATATACAAAAAATGGGACATTCTTCCGAGGAATGCTGTTGTTGTTGTTGTCGGTTAGAGGTTTCCCTGTAGAAATTATACTCTCTGAGTAAATCCCAGTTCCCGTTTAGTCCCTCAATGTCTGATTTTATTTTGAAAAAATATTTCACCTTCGATCTGCGTCTTTCTTGTCGGCTGTTGCATGAACACGCTAAAAGCACGCATCTGACATCGTTATTATTCGAGAATGGAATTTCTGTTCGAAAACTGGAATGTATTCTTCTCGAAAAATTCGTTTGAGAACCGATTGGTTCGAGATACGAATTGTTCGAGATACGGATCGTTCGAGATACGAATTGTTCGAGATACGGATTGTCTCAGATACGCATTGTTCGAGATACGAATTGTTCGAGATACGGATCGTTCGAGATACGGATCGTTCGAGATGCGAATTGTTCGAGATACGCATTGTTCGAGAAACGGATTGTTCGAGATGCGAATTGTTCGAGATACGAATTGTTCGAGATACGGATTGTCTCAGATACGCATTGTTCGAGATACGAATTGTTCGAGATACGGATCGTTCGAGATACGGATCGTTCGAGATGCGAATTGTTCGAGATACGCATTGTTCGAGAAACGGATTGTTCGAGATGCGAATTGTTCGAAATACGAATTGTTCGAGATACGGATTGTCTCAGATACGCATTGTTCGAGATACGAATTGTTCGAGATACGGATCGTTCGAGATACGGATCGTTCGAGATACGAATTGTTCGAGATACGCATTGTTCGAGAAACGGATTGTTCGAGATGCGAATTGTTCGAGATACGGATCGTTTGAGATACGAACTGTTCGAGATACGCATTGTTCGAGATACGAATTGTTCGAGATACGGATCGTTCGAGATACGGATTGTTCGAGATACGGATCGTTCGAGATACGGACCGTTCGAGATACGGATTGTTCGAGATACGCATTGTTCGAGATGCGAATTGTTCGAGATACGGATTGTTCGGGATACGGATTGTTCGAGAACCTCTGTTACATTGTATATCAAGAAATGATGAGACGAAAATTTTAAGGCCAACAGGTTTCGTTCCTAGAGAAAGCTTATCAAGGCAAGTGTAGACATTTTATCTAGTGTCCCGTATTTATACACAGAAGTATCGTGGAGAAAAATTATGTGAACTATGTGAATTTTTTTCGGTAGATTTTGACTGAAGAGACGAGATCAAAAGACGCATAGGTTCTCTCCTCGTAAACCAATAAAATATCGTAAGGATCGATGCCATACAGTAGAAAGAGACATATAAAGCTGACACGTATGGATATTGGAAATTGTCTATCTCTATTTCACGAATGAGATAGAAATAGATTAAAACAGAAAGAGTGGGACAGAGAAAGAGAGAGAGAGAGAGAGAGAAATAGCGTCAGAAAAAGAGAAAGACGAAGACAGAAGCAGAGTTGGGTAGAGAAAAAGATAAAAATATGTGAGATAGAGTAAGAGAAAAAGAGAAAAAAAACGAAAGAGAGAGAGAGATAACGAGAGAGAGAGAAAGAAAGAAACCGAGTGAGGTAAAGAGACGGAGAAAGTAATTGAAGCAAAGAGAGATAGAAAGTGAATGAAGTACAGAGTAACAGAGATAGAAGCTGTGGTATATATATATATATATATATATATATATATATATATATATATATATATATATATACTAGCAGTAGAACCCGACGTTGCCCGGGGATATAACAGTAAGAGATAGATCAAGTATCGACCATCATAAAGACTGAAAAATAAAATTGACAAAGATTATTGTTTAAGGTTGACGGACACGCATGTCTTAATTAGTTTTTTTTTGTTTTTTGAGGGTTTTTTTTACGAATTCGTCAAAGCCAAACTCAAACAAAAACATTGTTTTCAATCGTTATAAGTCTACCGATTGAATAGAATTTTATTATAAACAATTGTCTTATAAATGGAATTTTTAAAGCATTCTGTATGTAAAAATAAAGAAAAAAGTGTGCAAAACAATAAGAAACACTACCTGCCAAAAAAAAAGTGAAGTTTTGTTGAAATCGGTTGAAAAATGTAGGAAATCCGATCCCATATGTAAACGAACACACACACACACACACACACACACACACACACACACACACACACACACAAACAACCAGGGTTTTATAATAAGAATAACTCGATATGAGTTGTCCCCCTTTCATTTTGGCGACAGAATCGTTTTTTATCGTTTTCAAATTGATTTCGTGCAAAAACAATTGTTTTTTTTCCAATTTTTGGCGTTGTCAGAACCACCGCAAGGTAATTTTACGCAGTCCTGTGAAGTTTTGTTGAAATAGGTTGAAAAATGTAGGAAATCCGATCCAATATATAAACGTACAGACACACACACACACAATCTGCGTTTTATAATAAGTAAGATAATAAAAAGAAAGAACAGTAAGATATATAATCCGGTGTTCTTATTGATATTTTTATTTTTGCAAAACAGTGCTCAATGAAAATGTTCTGTCATCGACTTGCTTAAGTCCACCAGGTATGTTATGTGATGCTTTCCTTTGTCTTTCTTTCCCTCTATTCGACATGTGAGTATCAGATTCTTCAAGCCCTCCTTTCTCATTACGTGTCCCAGAAATTTCAGCTGCCTCTTCATGATGCTAAGTAAAATCTTCCTCCTTGTTTGCATCCAGTCTAAAACCTCATCGTTTCTCACATGTTCAGTCCATGTTATCCTTAGCATCCATCTGTAGAACCATACCTCCGTTGCCTCAAGTCTCTTCATCTTTGAGAAGACCGTCCAACATTCGCTGCCGTAAAGGTGGACAGATATCAAGTAGCAGTCCAGGTAATATTGATTAATTGATACAATACCTACTTCTTTTATGTGACGTGTCCCTTCAGAATGTAGGTGATCATGGCTCTCCACTCCCTCCAATATCTTGTAGCTCTCAATAAGTGTCGTCCCTCTGCCACCTCCGCCAGATCACGTTCTGTCATCTACTTGCTTAAGCACGCCAGGTATTTCATACGTTGCTTTCACTCGTCTCTCTTTCCCTCTGTTCGACCTGTGAGTATCAGTTTCTCCGGGCCATCATTACGTATCCCAGAAATTTCAGCTGCACCTTCCTGATGTTAAGTATAAGGCTCTTCCTAATTTATTACTACTACATGCAAAACAATAAAAGACAGTCAATATTAAACAAAAAAATAAGTTAAAACCTGAAGGGAGTACTCCATCGTCTGTAATAATTGTCACAAATAATACATAGGAGAAACCTCAAATAATCTAAATAAAAGATTATATGAATACATAAGGGATATTTTAGAAAATAATAGATCAAATACGTTGGTTGCCCACCGTAATGAGACTGACCACAATTTTGACACAAAAAATGCTACTCTGATCAAAGGAGAAAATAATTCACTACGATGTAAATGTCTGGAGAGTGCCTCAATAGCAAAGACATCTACAGTAAATGTGTGCCGTGGATCTTACAATATTTCCCCATTTCTGGAAGATCTTCTAATATCACAGTGTGGTATACCTACTTACAAAAGTCATGGAAAGAAAAAAAGTACTCTAAATGAATTCGGCTAGATAAAAAATTTAAAATTATTCAAAAATTCCCAGCATCCCTCTGTCATGCTCATGTGTTGTTCTACCAACATAATCAAATTTAGTCGGATGAAGTCCTGAAGGAGGAAACGCGTCACAAGTAAAGTTCTTCCACTTTGTCATACAATTTCTCCAATTCATTATATATATATATATAATAAACGGCTTCACCCCACACGTGAAATGGAGAATTATCTCTAGCCTCGAACTCCTTTGGAAGTAAAGTCTGATGATCCAGAACCCTGCTAAAGGGGCTATGGTGAAATAGCTTATTACATGGAGTCTTAACGTGGTCTGTCTTTTATTCAAACATATCTGCTCTGAATTTTACATTGAGCTCTCTGGATATCATCCTCCTCAGGTCTACCCATACGGATTACCTAAGTTTGCATAAACTATATATATATATATATATATATATATATATATATATATATATATATATATATATATATATCAATGTAGCGCGCAGAAGAGGTAAAGAGGGTGCGACAGCCCAGGAGAGCATATCGGGAGGGCATCTAATCAAACAGTGAAATAAAAATTAAATTTAGGCTCTGAAATTTTAAATTTTCTGTTAACAAACGCTCTACGGTACCACGAGCTGGTGTGTTTTAATAAGAGAGATTGGATTAGGTCTCCCTTATTTGAATCTTAGGGGCATACAATCAAGGAGTTTGTCCCAGGCACCAACAAACATCTGCACGTCATTATATATATATATATATATATATATATATAGAGAGAGAGAGAGAGATTGAGTGAGTTAGGTAGAGAGAGAGATATAGACAGAAACAAGGTTTGAGTGAGAGGGAGGGAGACAGGGACAAAACCGGAAATAGTGATACATATAAATAGATCGATAGACAGAGAGGTTGAAAGAGAGATAGCAAATATGATTGGCAGGTGAGAAGAAAGGAAGGAATAAAATGTGCTGTTGGTGAATACACAGAATTAGATTCCCACTGAGATAGATAGATAGATAGATAGATAGATAGATAGATAGATAGATAGATAGAATAAGAGAGACCTGATCAGAATGAGATAGATAGATAGATAGAATAAGAGAGACCTCATCAGAATGAGATAGATAGATAGATAGATAGATAGAATAAGAGAGACCTGATCAGAAATAGATAGATAGATAGATAGATAGATAGATAGATAGAATAAGAGAGACCTGATCAGAAAGAGATAGATAGATAGATAGATAGATAGATAGATAGATAGAATAAGAGAGACCTGATCAGAAAGAGATAGATAGATAGATAGATAGATAGATAGATAGATAGATAGATAGATAGATAGATAGAATAAGAGAGACCTGATCAGAAAGAGATAGATAGATAGATAGAATAAGAGAGACCTGATCAGAAAGAGATAGATAGATAGATAGATAGATAGATAGATAGATAGATAGATAGAATAAGAGAGAGACCTGATCAGAATGAGATAGATAGATAGATAGATAGATAGATAGATAGATAGATAGATAGATAGATATAATAGAGACCTGATCAGAAAGAGAGATGGATAGATAGATAGAATAATGAGACCTGATCAGAAAGAGATAGATAGATAGATAGATAGATAGATAGATAGATAGAATAAGAGAGACCTGATCAGAATGAGATAGATAGATAGATAGAATAAGAGAGACCTGATCAGAATGAGATAGATAGATAGAATAAGAGAGACCTGATCAGAATAGATAGATAGATAGATAGATAGATAGATAGAAATAATTCAATTTCTATTGAGGCAATTAGATCTTGGAAAAGAAGTGTCACACTTCACTATCACCTAAAAGATTTTTCTCACGAAATATCATTTGATGTCGATGCCAAAAACTTGATTTAAACCGAAGGACCTTATCAACCTTGACAGTTGCCTGGCATAAAGAAAACATCCATAATGCTCAACCCAGTGTGGGAATGAATATAATATGGAAGCCAGTAATTAAATAAAATAAGAACCCATATAACTTGTAATGAAATATAAAAAAAGAAAAGAAAAAAGAAAGAGCTATTTAACCGGTCTTCTCTGTCACATACAAACGAAGATAACGATGGAAACCAACAAAGCTAAAATAAGCTTATCATGGCGTACATGATGACACATAAACCGACACAAGGAAATCATTGAAAACTGCGAAAGTTAAATTCTGTGAATTAGCAAGATATCAAAGAAAAAAATGACGGAGATCTTCAATGTGCCATGTCTTTCTAGAACATGGCCCTCCACCATTTCCTTTCCACTCAAACCCTGTTTCTGCCTATATCGCTCTCTACCTAACTCACTCGATTTCTCTCTCCCTCTCTCTCTTTCTCTCTCCATATATATATATATATATATATATATATATATATATATATATATAGCATAATGAGAAGCCACGTATACTTTCCTAATATGTATATATAGAAAAAGTTGCAAATTAAAAATAATAATGTTTTTTTATGAAAGTATTTATATATATATAAATAAATATATTTATATATATAAAATATTTATATATATATATATAAAATAAATAAATACTTACATAAAAAACATTATTATTTTTTAATTTGCAACTTTTTATATATATAATGTGTGTGTGTGTGTGTGTGTGTGTGTGTGTGTGTGTGTGTGTGTGTGTGTGTGTGTGTGTGTGAAAATATATAGAAAATAGGAAAGAACTCGTTAGGTAAATAATCCAAAGTTCTTTAGTATTTTGTTATTATTTTTTTTAAAATAGTGCTCGATACAAAGTCGAGCATAAATATAATTATTTATTTAAAAATATGATTCCAACACGCTACATAAAAGTTCTCATGTTTCAAAACAAGAGCAGAATACTTCAATATAATTATTTGAATTAAATTGAATTAAAGTAAGTTCTGTTCCATCTTCGTGCTATGTTAAATGGATATCAGTTATCAGTTATCTCCTGTTAATTTCCCTCTGAAACTCCCCGGTGCCTTAACCGGGTATTGAACTCTCACTCTTTGGGTCCTGTCACTGGATCCAACTAACACCTTTATCCACTGTGCCATGTGTCCTTGATAACTGACATCCATTAAACATGGCACGTGAAACTAGAACAGTCTACCCCAGTGAGCGAAATAAAGGGTTCAGTTCGACATTCCAACCACCTGAAGAAGGCCGGAGCGTACAACGGCCGAAACGTTGTAATAAGTATGGCGACAAAGATAAGGACAATAGTCTGAATAATGTAAAATAATGTACAGAATACTTCATCTCAGAAATATAGACATATATATATATATATATATATATATATATATGTCTCAGAAATATAGACATATATATATATATATATATATATATATATATATATATATATATATATATATATATATATCTTAAAAAGTTGTCTTTTCACAATCTCTCCTAATCTCTGTTCTGCCAACCATTTACACAACCTCGTTCTTCTTTTATGTTGTGTCTCTTCAGAACCTGGACAATCATGGCTCTCCACAATTTCCTTTCGTTTGTGGCGCTTAGTAAAGTTTGTATTTTTGATATCTCTCCTAATCTCTTTTCTGCCAACCATTTACAAAAGCTAGTTCTTCTTTTCTTCTACGTTCCGTGTCCCTTCAAGACGTGGGCGATCATAGCTCTCCACAATTTCCTAACTGTTGTAGTTCTTAGTAAAGATTGTCTTTTTACTATCTGTCCTAATCTCGGCTCTGCCAACCATTTGCACAAGATCGTTCTTTTTATAACGCCGTTTTATTTCAGGACATGGGTAATTATGGCTCTCCACAATTTCCTGTCCTTTATAGCTCTTTGTAAATTTAGTATTTTTGCTATTTCTTCAAATCAGTGTTCTGCTAACCATTTACACGCGCTCGTTCTTCCTTTCTTCAACATGCCGTGCCCCTTCAAGACGTGGGTGATCATGGCTCTCCACAATTTCCTATCTTTTGTAGCTTTTAGTAAAGTTTGTATTTTTGCTCTCTCTCAATCTCCTTTCCGCCAAAGATCAACACTACCTTCATTAGTTACGCTATTCACCGCTTACCTCTATCATTCTTGCTTTCAATTTGTCTTGTGAGTGTCAAATTTTCTAAGCCCTCTTTCCTCGTTAAGTTCACATATTCAGTCCATGGCAGTCTTCTTCTGTAGAACAACATTTCTGTTTGTACCCTTCTTCACCTGTGAGAAAATTGTCCAGCATTCATTGCCATATAGACGGACAGATATTATATAACAATTCAGTACTCTTTTCTTCGTTTCTGACGAAATTTTCCTGTTTTTTAATACTTTGATTTGTTTCTGGAAAGCATCTTTCGTTATCCCAGTGCACCTTCGGCTTCCGGTGTCACTTTTTCCTTTCTTCTGTTAAAACACTTCCGAGATATTTAAATTTTTATAATTGCTTGAATTTGGTGTCTCCATTTTGTAATTTGCCTGTCCGGCTGTTCCTTTAGAAAATGCATAGCATGGACTGCTTGTAACAAAATGGATAAGATCTGGAAATCCAATCTTGCTCGTCAATTCAAAATCCAACTTTTCCGCGTACTTATTGAGCCAATCTTACTCTCTGGCTCTGAAACTTGGACTCTCTCAGCAAAACAACAGCTCCGTTTAGATGGATGTTATACACGTCTTTTTTAGAAGAATCTTAATCTCTCATGGCGAAACCAATATACTATAGAAATGATATATGGTGACTTGCCGAGTATCAACCTTATTTGTATATATTACGTGTCCAGTTCGCCGGGCATTGTGTACGTGCCACAGATGAACTTGTGTCATCATTTGTACTCTGGAGGCACCCATCATCTGACAATCGATCACGCAAGTTAACCTTTCCAGATAGGATAAAACGAGATACATTGATCCCTAAGGAAGATCTTTTAGGAGCTATGACGGATAGGGAATACTGGAGAGGTGTAGTGAGTTCAATCTCGGCTGAGGCCGCAGGATGATGATGATGATGATGATGTTCCTTTGGCTGACAACCATACATTCTCTCTTCTTAAAATTGATGTTCAATCTTTTGTTCTAACTTTCCTTTACAACTTTCAATGGCCCCCTCATAAAAAAAAAAAAAACCCTTGGGGAATATTTCTTATAGATTGGAATTTCTTTTAGGCCGTAACACTTGTCAGAATCGAAAAATTATTAATATGTACTCAATTTACAAATGATATCCTGTTTACAATATAGATTTTACTGGTTTACCTTGAGCTCCTGGATAATATATAAAGAAGAATCAGCAATATTGTTGGCCCTGATCTGGCTGCTCGTCTTCAGTCACTTGCCACACCCGTAAGCTTGCTTCTCAGTGCATTTTCTGTCTTGTAACGGCATTCACCTGGGGTGGGTTGAGCCGGCTCCAATGGAATTAACCGCATCGCGCGTCAAGGCCAACCACCCCCGTCGATCGGCAGCAGAATCGATCGCATGATCGAGCCATTCGCGATTCCAGAGTCGGACCCTGAAAACGCGAGGACCGGACATGAGTTCCATATCTGCTTTGACCGTTACGAGCCACGTCTTGAGTTGACCACCTCGGCGCTTCCTCCAACTAGTGGGTGCGTTTGGCGCCACCAGTTTATGGACGAAACTATCACCAAGCCGCCGCAGCACGTGGCCGAACCACCGGAGTCTCCTGTTAAGCAGAGTTTCTTCCAGGCCCAGAATGTTGCATCTGGCGCAGATGGACGAGTTGGGGATCCGGTCGGAGAGGCGCACGCGCAGGACACGGCGGAGGCAGTAGTGATCGAAGACCTCAAGCTTACGAAGATCCTCTCTGCGCAATGGCCAGGTCTCAGAACCACAGAGAAGAATTGTTCTGACTATGGCTTCGTAGATTCGCAACTTCGTATATAGATTTCATGGCAATTGTTCGGATGAGTTCTTCGCTATAGTACCAAGACTATGAATTGCAAGACTAGACTGGTGTCGAGATCTCATCAATTTACAGCTGAGCTGATAGATATAGTCCTCAGTTTTATGCTAACAGTTTCTTTTCTCACACTTCTAGTTTCTAGAACTTCTAGTTTCTAGAACTTCTAGTTTCTAGAACTTCTGGTTTCTGGAACTTTCCAGACATGCTTTAATCTGTAAAAATTTAAATACAATATCTATCAATTTTTACTGTCCTCCTGATTACTCTTTTCTCTCTCTACCCATTAATGTTTCTGTTCCTAATTCTCCCACACCCTGCAACCACTTGCGTTTTAGTGGCTTTATTGCCTTGCTTGTGGCGATAACAATTTAAAAAAAAGATACAATATGAAATCAAATCAATGCTTGACTTTAAGCTCAGTCATTTAACACTTTCTTGTAATCTAGGGAAGGTTACTGAATAAAATAATCAAACGACGGTTGGTAATGAACGATAATACTTAAGACACGAACACCACATATAAGATTCGCCAGCGGCGCGTAGTCAACTGCTAGAAGTGAGTCAAATGAATTTCACAATAAATCTTCAACTGCAGGATATCTACCAACCGCCCCCCCCCGTGGTCAGATGTGGCACAAGGCCAAAAATTCCCCGTAGACCCCGTATAAAACGGGGTTGGGTAGTTGTTTCTCGAGACGAAACTCTGCCATTCGACATAGCCTCGTCTGGGGATCCTCTCCGCCCGGAGGCAGAGAGTTTGACCAGCACATCTGGAGACGAATCTCCAACTGCAGATCAACATACAGTAATTACTACTGTATTTATGCGAATGGGGGAATACCCATTATCGTCCGTAGGTATGCTACAATACACTTATTTACAAATGTCAAGTTTGAGACTATGCCAACGATAATCTGCAGGTTTTTGTTTAATTTTCTAAACTTTTTTTACCTTTTTATTTTAACTAAAAAATGAATTAAAATTTTATATGGAATTTTTCCGGAAGCACATGCACAAACATTTGAGGTTCATAATTATTTATC